TTTGAGCTAATTAACTGATAAGGATGTGACACCATGAGTGTACAGTGTTTAACTTTTTCATATCGACCTAATTTTCTGAGACACTGAGTCTTGTATTATCAACAAGCGATGATCATCCATATTACAAGAAATAAAGACTTAAAATATTTCACCTTGTGTAATTAACCTGTATAATAAGAGTTGTGCTTTCTGAATTGATTGATAAATATAAAACTTTTTCAGGCTATTCACATTTTTTCATGTATATCTACTGCAATAATAACAACATGTTTGGGACTGAGAATCATACTTACCATAAGACTGAACTGTAAGTATTGTATGAAACATGGTGCTAATATTCAGGTTATACTGCAGCATTTGGCCAGTAATTCTCAATTATGCCTCCAAATTATCCAGAAAAGTAGTCGCCCTCTCCATAGAAGGTCACAAAGTAAGAGATAAATCTCAATGAAAGAAATAAGACATTACTAAGAACAATCAAATCTATGGTGCCCTCTTGCAATCTTGAAAGTAAAAAAAAAATAAAAAAAATAAAAACATAAAATGAAGTCAGATTGTGTTGCACCATAATCCTAAACTGAACAATTTAGAAAAATCAAAACTTGACTTTCTGTGCTTATTAGGAAATAATCCCACCTTTAGAAATATTTATTTCTAATTTACTGCTGCTACCATTAATCTCACCTTTGAAATGACCATAATCTGAACGAAACTAAAGTCTGATTTAAGTTTGCTTAATATCAGAGTGCAGTTTCTTTTTTTTATTTCATTTTTTTGTCATGATGTAAACTCAAGAGATTGTATGATCAAGACAAAATGGTAAGAAATATCACAGAGAACACAATTGTGTTGAAGGAATATATTTAGGCACAATGTACGTATAGATTTGATCAAAGTATTGTCAGTGTTTATATACTCAATGTAATCTGAGCCTGCAACTATACAAACTGTGAAACACAAGCATCGACGAGGATTGGAGTTTACCTTGTCATCATGCACAATAAAGAGGATGATAGAGGAGGTAAGGAAATCTCACTGCAGCAAAAAACGGGTCTTCAGTATCCACAATGTAAGACTTGTTTACACATCTTTGCTAGGAGGTCCAGTAATAGTGCAAGGTGCTGAAGCATGTTGTTCTAGTACTTTGGATCAGGATATAACATATTTATAAAAAAAAGTTCCACATCTTTTTAAGTACCTCTGTAATTTGACCAATTATAGTCTTTCTCAAATGCAGTACCACTTTTTCTAAATGTAAACAATGACAATATTTTGTACACCAACTTTCCTCCAGGTTACTTTGACAGTATGTGAACCTAACATATTTGACTCATGCAAAAAAAAAAGAAAAATAACCTTTGAATAATATCTTTCTTTCATACTATAGAGAACTAGATCTCAGTTTTTACATACATTTGATTGATTTTACTAGAGCTTTTCAAATTGCGTTTGCTGGTGTCTTAGCTTTAGCTATAACACAGTTATATCGCAATGATGGCAACCTTAGGCTAAATGTAAATGTATTTATTTTTTTATTGCAAAATGTTATTCTTAGAGAGTCTAGTCTTTTCAATATTTCAAAATGTGGCTGTAATATTTAGCTAATTTAGAAATTCAAATAATGGTATTCAAATAATCCACAACAATCCATGGTTAACTAAGGTAAACTAAGTAAGCTTCTTCTATTTAATAACATTATTACATGCTGAAAAATTTAAGTGTAATAGCTTTTGCTTGGAGATACTGTTTCATCCACAATTATGACCTGACTTTCTCTCTTTTCTAATGAATCTGGTAAAAGAGAAGAACAAAATCATTTTCTGCACTGGATGACATGGCCACAGATTTTCCAAGGCTGTTCTGCACCTTGGGATGACATTTCTCCCAGATGTTGCTCCTGGTGTTTTGAGATAAAAGCAGAGAAACAAGAAGTTTTGCTGTCCTAAATCAGGCCTGAGGCATCCTCACTCTCTTCAGATTTTGCTTCAACAAATGTTTTTATTTTTTTTATTTACATGCTTTGTGGCCTTCATGAAAATTTTGGGGAGATTTTAATTTTACATTTTCCACTCCTTCAAAGCTTCACTCAATGTCAAACTTGTATCAGTGTTCTTTTGAGGGGAGAAAGCGCCAAGAAATCTACAACAAACTGAAGGGAAACCAAGGGCTTCACAGTTTGATCCGTAGGTTGTCCTGAACTTTTAGTTTAATTTGTGTTTTGTTTCTGTTTCTCTCATTGTTTGCACTGTGAATTTATTTTCTTACATTCTTTTTTTTTCTGCTTAATGATTATATTTGTTTAAGATTTCTTTCACCTCTCTCTCTGCCTTCTCATCTGTTTCTCATCTCCCTCTTTGTCTACCTGCACTTCCCCTCAGCTGCTTTCACTTTGCCTTGATTAATAAGACACCAAATCAGAGATTTGTCAGTATTTGCTTTCCAGCAGGCACATGCTTCTCTGACACTTTTCTTGTGCTCTCAGCAAAAAAGTTGGACAGACTGAGTTTATTCAAGCAACTTTGCAACTCAGAAGTATGGCTTAAAGGACGTTTCATGTTGCAATAGCATCTTGACTCAGGATAGCAGCTACCTGGCTTTCTAAAACTGAAAACCCAGCATGTGTACAAACTTACCAGTGAACTTGGTCTGAGTTTTCACTATCCTTGCTTTCTAAAAGCAGTGACATATGAAGTCATAGCCCCTCTTATTTTCTACAATTGTAGCTTATAGATTTAGTAATATCATTATTGTTTTTTTAAGTTTGTGTATCGTGTCACTTTATGCTGTATTAAAATTGTTAGAAAAGAGACTTTACATTGCTTACTAACAAATAGAATCATTTATCATGTTCAATGGATTTGATTGATGAATAAATCTTATTTTATTGACAGTTGTGCACAGTGTCCTCAGGTAATCTGTGGGAATGAAAGAATTCAGCTTCACACAGAATTTTAATATATGAGAAATTGGTTTACTAAGTTTACGAGCTGCTACACTACACTCTCCTCCTATTCCGACTTGTTGAGGAAATATATGGCATTGAAACAGTGCATTCCACTTGTTGACTCATCCTTAAATTAAAGACACTAATTATGACAGCTTTTGCTTGTCTTCACAGACATGACTGAAACATACAAACAACTTAAACCCCCCCCCAAAAAAACCCGGTATACATTTTTTAAATCAGCAAATTTAGAGAAACAGATTAACGCTAACATCATAGGATCCAAGGAATGTGACATTTTCTTGGTTTATTTAAAGACAACCATGTGGGTTAGATATGCTGTTTCATTTGACCAGAGGTTTGGCAAGCAAACAGACAGAAAGAGGGAGTGTTACCAAGTGAGCCATTAAAGGAAATTAGGAAAGGTTCAGCATTACTGTGCCCAAAGTGTTGCCAGTTAGGAGATGCTTGTTAAGCCCAAGAGCCAGGAAATACAGACAGCACCTGCATGTTTGTCACAATAAGTCCCCTGCAGCTGTTGGCCTCATTTGGTGGGGAATAATTTTAACGCCAATGCCATAAATATTCGTCATGTCAAATCAAAAGGAAAATGCCCTACTGCCTGTGAACAACCAGAGGCTGCACGCCTAACAGGTTTGGGGGGAAAAGCTTTAGCGGTCAAACTTGTGGTGATTTCACATGATTTAGAGACTGAGAGTGATCTGACGACTAGTTGGCAAACCACGCTGGTTTGAACTGTACATCCCAAAAATAAATCTTACATAAGAGGATGGAGGATGTGACCCTTCCCTCCAGCAAGGCCTGTGCTTGCCCATCTGTCAGACAATGCACAATAACAGTGCCACTTGAACCCGCCAAGATTCATAGTGATTTTCATTAATGGAAAATTTGAATTGAGGTTCCGAACAGCGGGAAGAAATAAAAATAGTTTAGACTTTATAGTAATGTAGAGCACAACTTTCTAAGATTTTTGGGTATTAACTGTGGAATGATATTATCTCTTCTCTGTCATGGCAAACGCCTAGAAATTACTTTGAGATTTGAGTGTCTTTGCACATGATTTTACACAGTTAATAAACAATTATGAAACTGCAAGGAAAAAAAAAATCTAATCAAAATCAGGTTTAAATGTTGATTATGATATCTTAAAACATTTGATGAAATGATACTTTAAATTTTCTCTTTCCTTTATACTCATTAACCAAGTGAGGTCAATTGACAATATTCATAAAGTGAATGTAGAATAAACAGTGAAATAGTCTAAGAATGAAACAGTAAATGTTGTAACTTTAACTTTTCCCAAACAGCATTTTTTTTATAAATTATATGTTCCAAGGGAAAACTACTGCCCTAAATGTCTGTCCATCTCCATATAAATCGAAATAACTACAGCATCCTACATGACAGTTAGCATTCTCTGCTTGTATTGTTACAGCACAATCAGACTTTATGAGTCTGATTTATACATTTTATTAAACATATTCATACAGAAAACACACCAGGTGTCCAAGTCTCAGATTAATTTATGAATTATGGGCATATACAGTTAGTTATAAAAAGCCCCAAATCACAGTTTTGATTAAGCACAAACAAAATAAAAATAATATTATTCACGATAATAGCAATTGTTAAAATTGAACAACAGCTTAATGTACAAAGAAATTGGTGAGTTTGTGTCTGGCTTGTTTTGAATTTTAACATCTTTTATTATTTTAATGTGGTTATTTAGTTGTCCATGAGATGCAAAAGATTGTCCTCAAATGTTATTGGTTTCTAAGTTCTATACAGATTTTGCTGTTACTACATTGGTATAAAAGTTAAAATCACTCAACCTAAACATGTCAATGAATAGTATTGCATTACAGGATAGATCTTCTTGAGAAAAAGGAAGCCCTCTGGATTTGTATGCATGCCATCATAACTTGTCTGTCTGAACATAAGCTGCCTACAGTGTAGAGTCCTGCAAGGCTGTGTGTCGAGACAGCTTCCAATTTAATGCTCTTTTTGTTTCCCTCCTTTCCCCTTCCTGCTCTAGGCTGTAACGGAGACATCGAAGGGACTATGTTCGTCTTCTGCTCTGCTCACATCTGTTTCACTGCCCACCTGCCTGCCCTGCTACCTGTGCTCTCTTTGCTCCACCTTGCTTCCTCAACCCCATCTATTCCTGCCTGTACTTCCTGCCACAGCGCAGACACGTACATTCAACTGTACATGTGCCCTCATGCCTGAATGGACCCTTTAGCGGTCAGCACTGGCCCACTTTGCTGGGGTGGGTCATTAAACAAAACCGCAGACTTTCAAACAGAGAGGCCTTTCTCCACTCTATGCCTGAAGATGATTGTGAAGCTTAGTTCCCAAGAAACACATTCTCAGCAGCTCACCCGCTAAACTGTTATTGATAAGATCTAATTTAGCAAGTAATGTATTTTCTATTGTTTGAATATATTACATTATCACAACATTTATGGTAATAACTCCTGTGGTTTATTATCATTTCTAACACATCATACAGCGATGGCAAAATAATAAACATAGATTTCAGTTTTTCTCAGCTCCGAAAGAACCCTTCCATCTTTTTTGGTACCTGTGAATGAACAAATTTAGCAATTCATGGTTTTGATTCTGAGGCACAGATACTCAAATTCTAATTTAACCTTCAAGCAGCCTATAAAGTCTCCACAAAAATGAGTTTTTCAAACCTTTAAAATTTTCTTTTTTTGTTTTTTAAAAATGCTTGTTGCATACAAGACCAGCTCCTTCTGAGAAATCCCAGTGTGTTTCCTGGCCATCTGAGAAATGAGAAACATGGTTCCTTGATCCTCATTCCTCGTTTATTTACACTTTCCACTAATGTGGTTATTCTAATACATGGTCTAGTGTACATGATATAATTCCACTAAAATTCAGGGTTCACAGACGACTTCAAGACAAAGCTCACACCCTTTTTGGAAAATGGAAAAAAGCTAAACAACCTATAAAAATATAGATTTGTAACTAGATAAGCCAGACAAACGCTCATCCTTGTCTACACAAGTTCCTTAATCTTCATCTAAATGAACAGCCTTTGTTGACAGCCTGAGGAACCAGATCAGGTTTGAGGATGACATTTATGTCACGTTGAGGCCTGTTTTCTCCCTATTATTGTTTGAAGAGTGCTAACATTGAAAAAGCCACATCTTTATTATTTCTATATGTCCGACATCATTGGAAAGCTAATGATGTCAAAATCTGTAATTAACTCAAGATGCTACAAGAGAGACTTGTTTCTGGTTTTGTTGTTGCCAATCAAAAATCTGTTTTGAACATACTCATCTTTGTCCAAACTTAAAGAATTTACTTAATGCTCATTTAATTTATTCTGGGAAAAGACCTTTAACAAGGTGTGCTAAGTAAAATTTCTTCCAGTGTGCTGTATATGTATGTGTACAGTACATCTACAGTATAAACAGCTTGGTAGATAAGTGGTATCTGTCATTTATGACCCCAATAAGTTAACCATAGCTAAAGTACAGGGAGACACTGCTTCAAGACGATTAAAAGCTTTCATTGTGCAAAAATCAACACAATAATCATCTGTAAAAGTCACAGCATATTTCAACTAGTCTGGATTGTACGCATGCACTGAGGGACTCAACGAAAGTGCTCAACTCAGCTAGTTTGCCAATTTCAAACTATTCCTAATTATTTGTAAGCACTAGATGTTAGCCAAATAATGCTAACCAAAAATATTAATGCTGTAATTTGAAATGTGAGCGTGTCAAGGACATTTTTTCCTCTAAGTGGCCACTAATCAGCTGCATTTGCGCTGTTGAGAGTTAAGTGCCTTGCTTAGGGCCATTTCAGCAACCAAGGTTGTAAAAACAAAGCATTTTATTTTACACACTGACACCAAGATTTTCACTAGTTATGACTAAATACATGCACATTAGAATTTTAGCTGCAAAATCTTTAAAAAAATCCAACACTTACCGTAGATTGTAGTTTTACCGGAGTATTTGTCGACCATACTATAAGAAATTCTAAACTGAAAGAAAAGATATTTGTTTGATTAGAAGTCAAGCTCAGGAGTTATTCTTCTGAAAATATTTGAAAGATACTGGGAGCCAAAGGAGGATATTTATACTTTCCAATGACACTATCTGAGTTTAACTGATTCTATTACATGGTCTGCTAACTTAGAAATCGGCACACGCGTTTGTCTGAAGAAGCAAATTAATCTCTTCCAAGTGACTGAGAAAGAATGGAATAAATTTCAGAAATCCAATAACAACCACAAGAATGTTAAATACCTCTATTGATATTTCGTATCCGGTAGATTGAATGTGTTGTCCTTTTTGTGAAGAATTTGCTTCTGAAACATTGAATCACCAAGGGATCTGAGATTTTTTTTGTTTTATTTTCTAATAAACGTGCACAGCATTTGCACAGGCACAACCACGAAAAAATACAACTAGAAAATAGATATTTATGTTTGTTGAAAACAGTGAGATAACTGGATATTCAAACTCTTCCCCCACACATGTAGGTGTATAATAACCTCAAGGCTATGCAATAAACAACAAAGAGAACATACAGTTCAGTATTTTACTAAAGTGCTTATTTATTTGTATTTTTTTAGGTGCCCAGGTTCTCTTTTGTTTTGAAAACTACTCTCACATTAAATTTTCAGCTAATTTCTTTTTAATGAGTTTGGTTTTTCAATAAAGATGGATCTTTCAGTGGCTTCCTTGTGCATTCTACAGTGAGAATATGTTCCCAATACATTTCCAAGTTCAGCCTCAGTTCTTTTCATGAGAATTTTCTGAAAATTCTGACACTAATGCAAAAACAGTGTAAAGTAATAAAGTGGAAGAAAAAAATTCAAACGTTTTCTTTAACAAACAAAAATATGAAGATTTTGTGATTTATTTTGCTGCACTGACAAGTTAAAGGGCTTTGAGATATTCCCCTCTGAGCTTTGAGCATCCATATCATAATTTTTCTAATTTCTTTTAAAAACAGCTCAAGCTCAGTCAGGTTTGATGAATGGTGTTTCTAAACAGCAATTTAAATTCTCAACTAAGTTTCACAAAATTTAAATTAAACACTTACAAACTTTGGCCAGTCAATTCTAACACATCTTTGATTGTAGTTATTCTATGTAGCACTGGATCAAGCTAGCTTCCCTGTCCCTGCTGAGTGAAGCTTTCCCACATTATGACACAGCCACCTCCATGTTCAACTGTAGTGATGATACCACCAAAATGTAACATTTTGACTTTTAACTAAAATGCTGTGGAACAAAAATGACCAATTCTCATATTACTTAACAGAGTTGAAAGTTAAAATGTTACATTTTGGTGTTATAACCTAGCTCGAAGCAGTCAGAAGGATAACTTTCTTGCTCCAGCATGGTTTTGCTTCACATTGTTTCATAAATGTAGTTAGTTGACTTTTGAAGGCGTTTGGTTGCACTGGATTTTATTTAGAAGCATTAGAGTAAAGTGAGCAGGAGAAAAACGTATAGTAAACATTTCATTTCTGTTTCTTAAAAATAAATACAACATATCATTTTCCTTCCACTTTGCAATTTTGGGCTTCTAAATTCAAATGTGGATGTAATGGGATAATGTGAACACATTTTAAGATATGTAAACATTGTGCAAAGCACTGGACAGTGTGTTGCATAATTGTTATTAGAGTGAAGTAAGGGCCTCTTAAAGCCACTGACATGGGTGGAAATAAGCACAATTTTCACAGTAGTTCTTTAAATTTATTTATTTACTTTCTGTTGTAAATTGTTTGATTATATTCTAATAATTTGAGTGAATTTTGTCATTAGTAGCTCAAAGGACAATTTGCCAACAGCATTTGATTGTGTGCATGGTTTTCTGGTTTACACTGGCTTAACTTAACATACAACAGAAAAAAAGAAATCGAACAAAAAGTTAAAATCTTTGACAGGAATTTATAATTTTTATTTTTTATTGTTTTACCATCAGTGTATTGTGTGTGAGCATACACAGTGTGGGCAGACAGCAACCAGCAACAGACCTACTTTTCTTCAACTCGTCTTAAACTTTCTTCACAAACTTAGCTAATGGAACCATGTGAGGATCAAATACAGAAACACAACGTCAAAAATCAAAGCAGGAAAAAATAAATCAGAGTGAAGAGCATTAGACTGCAAAATGAGGTATTGTCGGCTCTCCTGCTTGCCTAATTTTCTGTATCAAAACAAAATATTTATTGGTGACACATGAAAAGTAATCTGGAGAAAAAACAAGCTTTCTATGACAAACTAAGATGAGTTTGTGAAATGCAAAGACACATTTTCCACTTTTAATTGCTCTTAATACACTGTTGGTATTACGATTGGCCCAGAGAAGTGTAACATGAGCCTTTTTGCATTTGATTTTGAAGACAGGGACTCATAAAACCACTTCAATTTGACTGATACATTGTACAAGGGAGCACACTAAAAGGCCTTCATATAGAGTTTTGCCAAATTATTTATACTCCTTAAACTTTCTTACATGTTATCACTTTAAAACCACAAGCTTCAATGTATTGTCTCCTGGAATTTTCTGTGACTTACCAAAATAAAGATATGCATAATTGTGAAGAAAAAGGAATATATGAATACATATAAATTTATAAATAAAAGTGTGGAGTGAATATGAATTCAAGTTATTTGCATGCACTGAAATTAAAATTACAAGTCTTTTTCAGCATGTCTCCACTATTTTTGCGCACCCAGAGGCTGAAATGTGTTTGAACGTTTGTTCACCAATAACTCATAAAGTAACTAATGCATTCACTGGACAACTGGACTTATAAATACATTACATACAAAGGAATACTTTACCAAATAGGTGACATCTGCAGGCAATTGGGGCTTTTGAAAAAAAAGGGGGAAACTTCACTCCCTATATACCTTATCCACAATTATGCATTAGTTTGTGTTAATCTATCAGATAAATTCCAATAAAATACACTGAGGTTTGTGGTTGAAAAAACATGGAAAACATTAAGGAGCATGAATACCTTTTTCAAAGAACTTTAATCCTGTTGTTTTCTTCTCAGAAGGTTTTGTTTGCCAATTTTCAAAATTACTGAATAAACATCAAACTTGAGCATGTACAGGATGATGTCAATTACAGGCAGCTTTTCCAAAGGGGGAAAGTTGATCCAATATAAACAGATTAACCTGAATATTCAGTGTAACCTTTTTTCTAAAGGCGACAACTACAAATGCTCATTCTGATGTTCTGTGAATCTGCTTTTACCATTTCAGTAGAAATTGGTTGCTGTGAAAAAAGAATTATTTTTTTGTACAATGCTCACCCCTTTGTACAGTAATACATGCCATTTCTTTACCACCTTCATGTCTTCAAGATGCTTTGCTGCAAAAACAATCATTGTCTTATCTATCATGCTTCTTTTCCTGACTTAAGACGAATCACCTCCGTAACCTCATCCTCAAAATCAATCTCTTGTTCTTCATGATTACCCGGATCATCATTCTTATGACAAACAATGCTGTCTACACTGAAAGGAGCACATCTGTCATTTGAACTCGTAATGAGTCGTCATTTGTATAATTTGTACAGAAGTTTATAAAAGTTTTCTACCCTTCAAGAAATGATTTAGTTTCTGCTGTTGAACTGAATGTCACTGAATTCAAATCTACAGGCCTTGTTATAAAATTTGTGTTTTTTGTGCAACATTAAAATTTGTTCTTCTGTCCAGAAGAGAGGAGAGAAAAAAAAGGAGCATTAAAAAACTGAAGTCATATGTTGGTGTTTTGTGTGAAGTTTTTGTGAAATGTTTGGACTGAATCTTGTTTTTCAAGAAACATCAGGTTGGCACAGCAACAGCTTTATTTCATACCACATACTTTAGCCTATTATGGTTAATAACCTTTTATCTCTGAGCATCTGTCCCATGAGAGAGGATTGTTGATTAAAAAAAGCAAACAGCATGACTCACATTATGCCCTGAGACATCATTAATGTTGCTATTAATGCAGCTTATGTTGCTTTGACATTAAATTTAGGAAGTTAATTTATTATTCTCTTGATATTGACCAAGGAGAGACAACTTTAACACTATTCCTCATAAGTTGTGACAAAAAAACCCTAAATTTTATCTGTAAAATAAATCCTAGGACATCATAGAGATGAACATTTTTCTCTTTTTCACTTTGGACGGAAGTGAAAAATATCAAAATAAATCTGTAAGGTTTGTCCAGATGTCAGTAAGTTTTGTAATGCAAGATAATACTCTATTTCAACCAATTGTGTATGCTACTATTTTTTGTTTTATGTCATGTAGCTACAGTAAGTAGCATAACAAACCTGTGTAAACATTTTTAACATATTCCAATAACTTCATAAGTCAATAGATTCTAATAAAGCCTGTGTGCACAAATAATTTTTTTTTTCTTTTGCCAGTTTCATAATTTGCTCCGAGCCCAAAAGGACCAACAATGTCTGTGTAATTAACAAGTTAATGAGAACAAACTGGTTTACAGAATACTTTATCTCCATACGGCAGGAAAAAAACAAAACAAACACACAGCTTTTAATTAACTCTAAACACCTGAGAACTAACTGAGTACATGTTATCACATTAAAACCACAAGCTTCAATGACAATACTTTTTCAGAAAAAAAAAATATTACGTACTTTGATGCCTCCCTTAAGTCTTTACTTCTGTAGACTAAATAATTGCAAAAACTCTCACAGGTTAAAGCAAAAATAGCAACTGTGACATGTGGTACATTTAAAAGGTAAGCAAGTAGAATACAGACTTATGGGAAAGCTGTGAAAACCAAAGGTGTCTTTCAACTTTTCAGATTCAAGGCAATCTTTAATTTCAGACTTTAAAAAGGAAATTCAAATCAGCAAACTTTGAAAAATGGTTTCTGAGTGACTGAGAGGACTCTGATTTAAACTGTGTTGGGTAAGTATCTATTTGCTTTGGAACCACCATCACATAATTTGTGATATTGAAAAGTCAGACTGGAGGAATGCAAATAAAGTTTTAAATAAATGCATGAATACAGCCTATAAAGTCTATAGACAACAAAAACGCCTGTTGATGTTTCATATTTTGCTGTTTGTATTTGTTTTTTGCTAAATGTCTGATCACTCTTCTTTATTCAAAAGGGGAGAGATTATTGGTGACCATCTTTAAGGCAACATTTTTAAAGCATGAGATACAAAGTACATTTGCATTTACTGCACCTGTGTACAGATGTAGTAAATGTAGTAAAGGCTAGATGAACAAGGCTAGACAGGTAGAATAATATTCAAGCACTAAGTATTCATGTTTGGACCTGTAGAACATGAATACTGTGCAGTCATTCACCACTATTGCCAAGAATGATTACCAAACAAATGGACCGATGATGGGTCCACTTATACAAGCCACTTCCACAGCATGAAATTAAATGAAGCATGATCTAGGGTGTGTCAAAAACTCCAGCATGACGAATGACTTCCATTGTACTTAGTACAGTACCTAATTCAGTTTTTAACAAGTCACTAAGCTAAATCCTCTGCTTTGTTTGATATATGTGTAGAGTTTGTAATGTTTAGTACAGTAGATTTTTATGTCATCTCGGTGGCTGTTCAATACACCATTTACTAGTGACAACCAAGAATGTACATCAATCAAACGAATAACATGTAAATGGAATATGAATGTATGTGAAATGAAAATAGATGTGAAGAGTTTAGAGCCACTGTCATGACTCATGGATTATCAGTTCTGTTCTGGATCAAACATGTAAAGCTAAGTCCCTTCAGCAGAGACACTTCCCGACACTGAGTTTGTTTTTGGTGAAAACGCCCATCTGAGTGGATAAAAAGGCTTTTTTAAGTGTCAAAATCTATTAAAAGTAACTCTTTAGTCAAGTTGTTTAAAGCCAACAAATCACACTGACGCTGACTTTTTTATGTCAGCCATGTTTTTTTTTTTTGGGGGGTTTGTTTTTTCTCAAAAGCAACTCTAAACAGCTCAGTTTTTCATTTGGTTTCAAGGAGCTCAGTGGAACTCAGTGTCTTCAGCAAATAAGCTGTTATCTCCAATAGCTCATCCGGGTGAAAATCTAGAAAATCCTGCATTTTTTTCTGTACAACTTACATTTCTGGAGAAAGAGCGGTAGAAACAAATGTCTACATTTCTTCAATTGAGACCTCCAATCGCATTCAAATATGTTGTTTTGAATTCTGGGGTAATGATTAGATGCCCCTCCCATTTGTACTTTAAATGGGACAATGATAACAGCATAGAAATATAGTTTAAAACATTCAAATAGTTTTGTAATAGTGAACTTCCATCAAGCACACTGAATTTTGATGGGAAACCTAATAATAATAATTATAGTTTGCTTCAGATTAGTTGAGCTGATGCTGCCAAACTGGAAGTGGAATGCAGGCGTTCCTAATGCTGTTACTGATTAAAACTGGTTTTCTACCCTACCACACACTTAATTACAGTAAATTACAGTTAATTGGAGATATTTGGACTCTCCTTGCAACCACCTTGTGTTCATTAGTCTTTTGAAATAATTGCTTCAGAGAAAACAAGATTCCAAAACCATAAGATCAAAGTTGAAAAATGTACTTACTACCCAATACTTAAGAAAAACAGATTTTGTTCACAAAATACAGTGTGCGTGAAATCGGAATTCTTTTCATATGGACTCAATGCATTTTTATCTATTTAATGTTCAATTCTGTGGGGATCTGCTACATCTTACCTGTGACTCAGAGATGTGTTTCTTATAACATAACCTATAGTTTAATTTCCTGAATCATAATCCTCTATTGCAGGTGAACTACAGCTTTAAATTGACTGACACAAGCTGTGTGTTGTAGTGGTGTCTATAAACTACATTATTATTTCTGTAAAATATGATTACATATTTTGGTAACAGTTGGTAACCATGTAAGCGTATTTGTGGACAAATACAATGTCCTCCTCACATGATTCAAATGCCTGATTTACCGGCCTAAAGTTAAACAAGATCTGCAGAAAGGACCCATTACTTTTATTTTGGTGTGGTGAAGCAGGAACCATTTTAAATCCTGGATATTGCTGGGTTTCATGGATCAGGGTGATCAAATCAGCACATAACAATAAAATAAAATAAAATAGCTTCACAAAAAGGTAAATATTTTTAACAATATGTATAAAACAACTTTAATGAAAGAGTGTGCATGAACCTTTTTTTGTCCGGTATATTTCTACAGAACAAGCTCCTACACAGATTCATTGTTTAGATTACGATCAACACGCAGATCAAACATTCTGGTTGAAATATCCTGAGGTACAATGATAATCTTTACGCTAACATAGAGTACGGAACTGAAAAAATACATCAAAAACATCAACGTGAGGAAGACAATGCTTTACATTAGCAAATGAAACATTTGCTAATGTAAAGCAGTTTAACAGTTTAACGTGTAAAGCAGTTTAACGTGCAGCAGTTTAACATAAGTTAAACTGCTGCACGTTTAACTTATGTGCAGCAGTTTTGAATCAGATGGGAACATGCTCAAACACACAGGCAAACATGAGACCAGCCTTTAGCCATTCTCTTTCCCAAGGACGCTGATCTGCTTTGAGATCAAACTCCCCCACTTTTTATGATTATCAGAAAAGTCACATTGACTAAAGAGACCATATGGTAGTTATGACTGACATGAGTTTGACATTTATGGAGTTGTAGTAAAAAATGTGTCTGGTTGTAGAGCACAACTATTTACAGCTTACTATTAAACTCTGTAATTATCTCTATAATTAACTCTTTTAATTGGGCTGAGATTTTCTGATCTCATTTCTACACATTCAGATTGGAGGCTCATATGATAAAACTCTCCCATATGTCTCATATCTGTGACACATGCATTTCATACTGTGGGATAAAACGCAAGCTTAAATCATCAAAAAAGATTAACTTTATTATGTTAAATGTAATTATGTTTTACCCAAGGTGCAGTGAGCCTTTTCATAGGTGTGCTGCAAGTGTGAAAAAAGAACATCAATATCATCAATGTCTAACATAATGATATTGCTAGGCATTTATTAGATAAAGGGATTAGCTCTTCCCCATCGAAACAACATTCGTTATTATTTTTCCTCAGAGAAAGTGTTTATATATGCAGCAGCCATTATGGTCGCACACCATGTCTGCATAAATCACTGGGGACCTCTGCAACACAAAACAAAATTTGTGCTCATTTGGAAAAGTTTTTCCAAAACTAATTTAAAGTTGTTGAGATCAATAGCTCCAGTGGGCTCATCCCCTCACTTATAGATTATGAATTTGAAATAGTTTGACACTCACATGGAGCCTATTATTGTGCTACACTGAAGTCATTTCAACGACTACTGCAGTTCCATGCTAAAACTCAACAAAGCAGCCTTGTGTGGATTATAATGTTACATTAATGCTATATTTACTGTAGCAGACCCAAGAGGATGATCAGGGGCAAAAGTTGAAAGCCAGAGAAGCTACTTGATCTCACTAATCCACTGCAGAACATGTTGACATGTTTTCTATCATGGCAAACAACAGCACCGATTTCTTTTTCTGCTTTGAGCTTGACGTAGCTGTCACAAGTTCGAGTCCTGATCAGATGACCTTTATCAATACCTATTCTCCTGCCTGACCACGCTCAAATAAAGACCATTAGAGAAAATCAAATCTTTAAAAATAAAACCAAAGAAATTGCTAGTCAATATTTTCAAAACATT